TGTTGAGTTCTTTTAATATTTTAAAAACTTTTCCTAAATTTTGCATCTATCCTAGCTTTGGTGGACGTAGTTACCTAGTACATGTTGCTGATAAAATGTGAAATTAATTAAAAGGAAAAATCTTTTTGGCCAGAAAATTTGGCCAGAATGATAGTTTTTCTATGTTATTTTAACTTTTTAAACATTTTTATCCTTTTAACTTAAATACATTTTAACTAAAAAATGGAAAAAAGATCAGTTTGTTTTAAAATAAAAAAAATATTATAGTTTTTTTAATTTTCTGGCCATTTAGCACTATGCAAAATTGATCCGAACATCGTAATCATAAAAAAAATACTACTCCCTATGTCCCTAATTACTTGTCCACTTTTTCTTTTATAGTTGTCCCTAATTACTTGTCCATTTTGACAAATCAAGAAATAATAATTTTTTTTACCTATTATAACCTCAATTAATTACTTTGAAAAAGGTAGAACTTTTTGAAAATCTTAAATTTTTAATACATCCACTTCATAATTAATAGGGATAAAATGATAAACTCACTATGTCAATAATTATTTTCTTAATAGGTGTGTCAATTAAAAAATTGATAAGTAATTAGGGACGGAGTATCTATTTAGAATCTATCTTCCCTCTCTCCTCACTAAACGCACTTCCAAAATTGATATGATTAGCCCATTGAAAAAGATCATGTTTAATTATTTAACTATTCAAGCATAACCCAACTAGGCAAACACCACCCTTCAATGGATTTAGCCGTTTAGGCGGGTCCGCAATAAGAATACCGAGATACGAAATTAGAATTTTGATTTTATAAAATTTTAATTTAATTAAATTCTAAATTACACTATCTATATATATTTAACACTCGGAGTAAAATCTAATGTGTTAGCTTATCAAAACAATTAGCTCTTTTCCTTTTCCAAAATAGGAAATCTAACAAAAGTAGTACTTTTTTTTCGGGATCAAGTATTTATTTTGCTTTTCATCCCATATTCAAAGTTCATATTAGAATTCGGACTAAATTTAGATGGTACACTATATTTAAAATATGATGCTCTTAATAAAATTTTCTTGGTATTTATTATTAAATTGATGACCTTTGATTAAGAGCGGAGCAATAGAATCTATTTGCCTTATAATTGAGTGATTGAGTCTATAAAAGTGTGCGTCGTGTCTAGAAATCTCTCTGTCTCGCCAGCAAAGCATTCATCAAATACAGCCTAATAATAATACTCTTTCTATTTTCATTTTTAGATATATATAGAGATTCACGGGCATTGTTAGAGAAGCAACGACGTCGTTTCTCTTGCTCCGTCCCCGTTTCCCGTCCTTTTTCTGCATTGTCGCCGGCGACAATGGTGGATTTGGGTCTCTCCGGATCTCTTCTTGCAGTGGTGTTGGGGTTCGTTGCAGTTTTCTGTTTTTTCATTCAGAGAAATGGTGGCTGCAGCAAAAGTAAAATTGATGACTCAGCAACTAGCACCACTACAACTACGGTGTACAGTGGAAAGTCCCGATCAAAGGATGGAAACGACGACGTTGATATCATCATCGTCGGTGCCGGAGTTGCCGGTGCTGCTCTTGCTCACACTCTTGGCAAGGTATTGTTTCTTTCTTTGTAATCCGTTTTTTAAAAGTTATTATTCTACTTTGGTCCTTCAACTATTTTTATGTACATATGTGAGCAAACCGTAATTGTGTAGTGAGAAGTAATTAGATTGATTGATTTACGTATCTGAAGGCATAGTTGATGTGGTTATTCATAAAAAACTTGAACTTGATTGTTAATTTGATGAAATCAGAGAAATGAAAGATGCATTGATGATGAAAGCGTTTGGTGTGACTGCAATTTTTTTTATTGGAGTTCTTTGTTGACAATTCTCTATGAAAAAAATTCTTTTTTGTGAGATTTATGATTATACATTTGGGACTACAGGAAGGGCGTCGTGTACAAGTAATTGAAAGAGATTTGACAGAGCCTGATCGAATTGTTGGAGAACTCCTACAACCGGGTGGTTACCTCAAATTGCAGGAGTTGGGATTGGAAGGTAAAGTTCCTAAGTGATGTGATTTGTGTCAATTCTGGTTAATTTACTCTCTTGAAGAGAAAAAAAAGGAAGTTAGTCTTGCACTTTTAGCTTCTCGTCTGTCTCTTTTTCGGCATTTCTCATATTTGTATTTTGGTCTACTGCAGATTGTGTGGAGAAAATTGATGCTCAACGAGTGTTTGGGTATGCCCTTTTCAAGGATGGAAAGAGTACACGTCTTTCTTATCCCCTGGAGAAGTTTCACTCCGATGTTTCTGGAAGGAGCTTCCACAATGGGCGTTTCATTCAAAGAATGCGAGAGAAAGCTGCAGCTCTTCCCAAGTATTCCTTCTTACCATTTTTTCTTTTTTCCCTTGGCAGATCTATTTCTCTCTCTCTCTTATATGTTATGAAGTATTTGATCTTCAAATAATTTCCTGTTTGAACTTATAGTTAGGATTCATATTGTCGATCCTTACTAGTTTGGATGGAGTCTTAGTTGATTGATTGAAAATTTGAAATAGTTTCCTGTTGAGTTATCTTTGCTTTGATTGACTAAGTGCACATCGGCTTTGATTTTTTAACAGTGTCAAACTAGAGCAAGGCACTGTTACGTCTCTGCTTGAAGAAAACGGGATCATTAGAGGTGTTCAGTACAAGACTAAATCTGGTGAAGAGTTGAAAGCATATGCACCTTTAACTGTAGTATGTGATGGTTGTTTCTCGAATCTACGACGTACCCTTTGCGACCCAAAGGTAAGGGCGCTTATTAATATTTCTCTTGATTTTTGTTAAGATAAGAAGGATGGAACTGGGTGATTAATTGTTTGTTGAGAAGGATCTTTTGTTTAAAAAGCTCATCTGTGAAATCGTTTGCTTTTACTTATTGTATATCATCTTTTGCTTTTACTTACTACTGTATGAGACAATAAGAATTAGTGTACCGAAGTTGTCTGAATGAACAAATATTTTTATATGAACATCATCATTGTTGTCCCCTCCTTATGTTTCTCTCAACACTCTGAATGACATGTAATATTGTACAGGTAGAAGTCCCTTCTTGTTTTGTTGGTCTGGTCCTGGAGAACTGCCAGCTTCCACATGAAAATCATGGACATGTCATTTTGGCTGATCCATCACCTATCTTGTTCTATCCCATAAGCAGTACTGAGGTCCGCTGTCTGGTTGATGTACCTGGTCAAAAAGTGCCTTCTATTTCGAATGGCGAAATGGCCAAATATTTGAAAAGTGTAGTTGCTCCCCAGGTAAAGAATTGTTGAAAACGTTATCTTGAATGACATACCATGTCATTATAGTAGTATACATACTTAAGTTGCATGATGTTCAATGAGATGTTCGTGTGGTTGTTCCAGGTCCCTCCTGAGATAAAAGATGCATTCATTGCCGCAATTGATAAAGGAAACATCAGGACAATGCCAAACCGAAGCATGCCAGCTGCTCCTCATCCTACTCCTGGTGCTCTTCTCATGGGAGATGCATTCAATATGCGCCACCCCTTGACTGGTGGAGGAATGACTGTAGCATTATCTGATATTGTTGTATTGCGTGATCTTCTCAAACCTCTTCGTGATTTGAATGATGCATCTACTCTTTGCAGATATCTGGAGTCATTTTACACCTTGCGTAAGGTAAAAATCGCTTGAAATCCTTCCTTGCATAAGTAACATATTTGATTGCTGTAAGTACCACGTTTTCTACTTTAAGAATCCTCAGTGAAGTAAAAACTCTATGTTGACTAGTGAGTAATGAAGGATCTGGAACCACAAAACAGACATTCCTTTGATGATTTCACCAGCTATCAATCTACCAAAAACGATATAATGTAAAAAGGCTTGGTTCATTACAATGTTTTAGGACTTGACTCACTCAATTCTCCTATAACTTGTCTTTTACATAAATAAATAAATAAAAAAGAGAGCAAAAGAGGATGACTGATGACTCAATTCTCCTGCAGCACTTTGAGACTTAACTAGAATATTATTACCTTTATAGATTGTTTATCAAAAAAAAATAAAAAAATAATTACTTTTATAGATATTGACTTGTTCTGCTCGCATATTTTACCTGCAGCCTGTGGCCTCCACCATCAATACGTTGGCTGGTGCCTTGTATAAGGTGTTTTGTGCTTCACCTGATCAAGCTAGGAAGGAGATGCGTGAAGCATGCTTTGATTATTTGAGCCTCGGTGGAGTATTCTCAGATGGACCAGTATCTTTGCTTTCTGGCTTAAACCCTCGTCCATTAAGTCTCGTTTGTCATTTCTTTGCTGTGGCTATCTTTGGTGTTGGCCGCTTGCTGCTTCCTTTCCCATCACCCAAACGTATATGGATTGGAGCCCGGCTAATATCGGTAGGTGTCAATCTTGCTTTTGCTCAATATTTGCAATCTTACACACGTGTTCCCATGTGACCTTGTATTTTGACAATTTCATGTTGATTCAAATGCAGAGTGCATCTGCAATCATTTTCCCTATCATCAAGGCAGAAGGGGTCAGGCAGATGTTCTTCCCCGCAACTGTTCCTGCATATTACAGGAAGCCCTCCTGAAGTGAGGTTGTAACTGCTATAAACAGAATAAGGCTATGCCATTGTACCACCTCCATCAGTATACTGGTTGTGAGTTTCAAGAGTTTAGTCCAACTGTTGCATAATTTTTGGTTGCTAGTGATCCCTTGTAATCTTTTTCCTTTTTAGTTTGTTCCCATGATTGATTACACTATTAACTGGAAAGTAAATATAAGTTGTACAATCATACATTTGTCTCTTCTCTGTACTTTTATTTTTTTCCTCCTCTTTGTTTTCTTTTTTGCCTTTTCTTATTGTGTTCTCCCACATTGGCTTGCGGTTCACTTAGTTTTGCCAATAACTGTAAGCCTCTTACTGATACCAAAGAAGTAATCATCTTTTGAGTTTGACAATGGAGTAGAAATTGAGGAAGCATAACAACTGATCATTTAAAAGCTCGAAGCTTGAGATTGAAATTATTGTAAAAGTTCTATGGCATATACCTTGACAAAATAATAGCATATAATTTGTTATTTTCTCTAAAGTTCGACCTTTTGTGAATGCTACAATGAACAATTTCAAGAAGTTTCTTACATATCTTTTCTACCAAGTAAGGATATAACATAATCAACCACTTGACTCAAATTTAATACATGGCAAAATTCATAGGCTGATTACAGCCTTTTCTCTCTTTATTTGACGACATCTTGAGCTAACTTACAGTGTACTAAAGCCTGTGTGATATACAATGTAAATCCGTATGTTCAGCTATCCCACGTCACAAATTGCGCTCTTCCAGAAGAGTTGGAAGTCCGCAGAGGAATTACAAAAGCAACAATCCTGGCTGTAGAAGTACTCTTAAAACTCGTCAACTGAAGAAAAAAGAAACAAGAACCTATTGCAAAGCGTATCCTGAAAACCTCGATAAGCAGCCAAGAATGTCAAGAGACTACGTGTACCAGTTGATTAGCACAAGGCTGGAAGCAAATGGCTTGATAGTCTCCCAGGAATCCATCATGAAGGACCACTTGGATTAGCTAGACTAACATACAACATCAAGTGGACATGACCTTTTAAAATGTTACAGAAAATTTCAGGCATTAATCATGGCTCTTTATCTGCTTGTGCCATTCTTCCTTTCCGATTTTATAGCCTCATATGACTTCATGACTTCCTTAAACTTTGCTTCAGCAGTCTCTGCAACCATGTCACAATATCAGATATTTATCAGCTGATGCAAGTAGTAGCATTTCTTTCCTTTTGTTTTTCTCGAATTTATAATAGGTAATACAAGGATAAAATATCAAATAGACCAGCCAACACAATCCACCTTTGTTTTGCTGATTCTGATCAGGGTGAAACTGCTTTGCCTTTTCCCTAAATGCCGACTGCAAGTTCAAAAAAAGGCACTTTTCAATAAAAGCTTAATGTTTTCACATGTGCGCATGAAGGACAGAGAAAGAAGCAGAACAGATAGTCGAAACTGAAGGACCATTGTGATGTCAGCTATCAGATGCCCTTGCAAATAGCTCAAATTGGAGGATTTATCATATTAAGATAATTTTAGCAGAGATCAGTGCGTACAAGTATGATCAATAAATAAGCAGCTTCATAGAATCTCCTAGTAATAGGCAATGCCAGAACCACCCAATAATATTAGGCATCAACTTCTTAAATTTGACAAGGCAGTCAAAAATAGTATTAGAGCCTGCTTGAATGGGCTCATAGCTTTTAGCTTCTAAGCCAAAAGCCAAAAGCCAAAAGTTAAAAATTCTAACTTAGGGCTTTTGACTTATTTTTATCCTTTTGCCTTAAAAACAAGAGCTTAAAAGCACTTTTTTATTATATCCAAACACTACAAAAATATTTAAAAGCTATTTTTTAACTGAAATTTGTTGGAAACTGCTGAAGTGTCTTTGTTGTAGCACGGCAGTAAACTCAGACCTGAAGCTACTCAAAAGTGTTCTGTTCTACAAAAGGCCATTATATAATGTTGCAAAATAAACCAATGCACCTGGATCTTAGTCCACTGGAAATATGTTTATATTTCACGAGGTTTTTTTTTTTTGTGTATAAGAGACATGGTGGCAGGCAACAGAAGTGAAGCAGCTTGGCTTGCAGTCTCTATTAAAGTACACAATGAACAAAGAAAAGTAAAGTTGTTGAGTAATTAACAGAGCTTCTAGCTATGAAAATGTTGGTGATGCAAAAAATTTACCGGGAGAAGTATCATTTCATTTTATTTTTATCTTTATCAAGACAGTAGTTTTCTTTAAGAGGTTACAGATGATTTTGATCACTCTTTTTTCCTGCCTAGTGCCAAATATAGACCCACATACGTTTTATTCAGAAAATTCAGAAAATAAGGAGCAGCACAAAGGAGATAAATTAACTATGTCATTCACGTAGGGTGGTAGCACCCAAAAAGAAAAATATTTCTATATTCAGAAAATTCAGAATAAAGGAAATAAATGTTTTAAGGCTTCAAGTCATGCAGGGTGGCAGGGGTATTTAGTTCTCTAAACCATTCTCCTCCACAAGGAAGAGGTGGGATCAGGGAATCCTAGAACAATGGAAGGTAATAAATATAAAAAGATAAAAACAATGGGACGTAAACAGCACAACAACACTATTTTCATTTAATACTGGAAGAATTTTTGGACATGCCAGAGAAGGATAAGTACCTTTATCTCGTCATCCGTGTAAGGCTTCGTCCTAGACCTGTCATAATGGAAGGATCAAACATGTCAAGTTTCATGTCAATGTCAGTATCATCGCCAAAGTACTAAACACATCCACATTAAACATCTGACATTCCAGATATAGACTTCTTGGCCACATGAAAACTAATACATGTACGAGAAAACTACAACTAGAGAAGAACGATAAGTATCTGTAACTAACAGAAGAAGTAATACCCTTTTAGAGCAGCAAAGGCTTCTATCCCAGACCACCTCATCATAGGTTAAACCGTGTTTTAAAACATAATTTTGAATGTCATGATTTACCCAGGTGAAAGTAAAATTCAATATGAGATTAATCACAAAATTGGCATCTTACTATCCAGAGTCAGTAAAACAAATCTTCACCTTCATGTAAGTGAGCACCATTCACATCATAGGGTACCATTATCTCCTTATTAGATTGCAGTGAGTGAATAAGTCGAAAACAAAACCTAAAGGTTCAATCTAATGTCCTTGTTAGGAGTCCATGGTGACTTCAAACAGAAGAGCCCACGGCATTGGTAAGCTGCAGCAGGTACTCCTATGAGGCATATTCTTATAGGGTTGAGGTGTATGCTCTGGTCCTCGAATTGCCAACAAAAGAATGCAAATTAGTTATTTTCTTCTTTGTAAATCCTTCTTCTGCATTGATGCAGAATTCCATGCAAAAGAATTGGCAAAAATGCATGCCTCAGGCACATACATATGCCTCAAAACCATAATAAATGAACAGTAATGTGTCCTAAACAACTTTGATTTTTGGACTATCATCTTTGCAATGGCCATAACAAAACGTTTGACACCATTCTATTTTACTGTAACTTTCACTACTATCAAGAATTTAAACATTAAATATACACACTTCAACTTTGATGTGATATTTGCCCTCTATTCACCCACTACTTTATTATTCTCTTTTTTTTTTTTTTGATAAAAGTTAAAGTAACTTTATTATTCTCTTTTATCATCACTAATATGCTATATAAGTCAAACTAACATCTTAAACTCCAAACCCAGTTAAACATTGCAATATAAAATGAAACAGAGGTAGCACATACATTTACATGCATTCGTCTTATATGTTTAGTATCTAGTCGTGGAACTGCGTCATATACAACAACATACCAGTGAAATGTTTCCAAAGAATCAATAGTATATGCACCGAAAAGAGTTAAAAGTGGGTCCCCAAAATTCCTTACAACTTTGACTTGGATTCTCCCTCCAACTTCCACTTAAATTTCATTGGTAAATGCGGTTGCAATTTGCCTACTCATATCTGTATATTTACCACATCTTCTAGCTGCATGGAGGAGTTCTCCCAGTTGATGGGTAGTCTTCCAACCTTCATTTCCCGATCTTGCCTTGCACTACTCTACACTCTAGCAGATTTTGCAAGGCCGTTGGATGGCATTAGAAGACCCCAGGATAAGGCATCAATAAGATGTGCCGATTCATCAGGTAAAACGCAAGACTCCTCTATAACCATATAGCTATATGTGAAGGGATACACATACGTGCAAATTTTATAAGCCTTTGCAGAAGGAATTCACTTTTTGGGCCCGTGTTAAATTAGAGGACATGCAAAGAGGGCCTGTTATGTATTAACTGTCAGCTGGAGAATAAAGAATTAGGGTTTGTTTTTGCTCTCTTGTGGATAGTGTTTACACCAGTACTGTTAAGTGTTATATTATAGGTCAGACACCGACAGCACTAGAAGCATCTTCTTCATGAATACAACTACTCAGTAAGGTCTTCTAGGAGGATCTGACCAAGCGACCAAAATTGGTATGTCTTTCCCTACTCATAAGAGATGAATGATTTGCTAATTACTGAGCCTAAGCCAGTGTTAGCTTATGTAGATGCATGACCAGACGTATGCAAAGTGCAGACTTGACAGGTCCATCCATATGAACTGGCATCATCAGTTGCAGTAAGCATAGACTACTTCTAAGTGATAAGATTTTCACCGAATTATTCATTGAAATGAGACTTCTGATGAAATCGGGGATAACGTCAAAGAAAGAAATAGAAAGGAGTGCATGCCACTGAAACAGTCCCTCGAAACAAATAACCAAGTTGGTGTTTTGATAAAAATGTGCATAAAGCTTCTAGAAAATCTATCAATACACAAAAAATTAAAAGGAAAACAAAACAAACTATGATTTAGCTTTTGATAGTATTCTATTCTAACAATAAACAAGAAAGAGGCAGCTTCTCATAGTTTTACTATTCTAACAATAAGCAAGAACATAGTAAAGAGAACGGCAAAAAAATTTGGTATAGGACCTTGAGCTACATGAAACAAAACTAGCTTCCTAATTCATCAAATTCCAAATAATTATAACATAATCATTCTTAATGATTCATTTGACATTTAACACTTATCCCTCACCTAGCTAATGCCATGAAGAAACCAGTCTGGACTGCCAAAAGAAAAACACTTGGCACTACTAAGAGATAAAAGAACCTAAATCATTGAAAGAAGCAACTTCACTACTACACTGATATCCTTAAAGATGATAAAGCTAAGGCAATTGGAAGTCTGAAACAGCATATCTGATTGGTGATAACATGCGTAACCAGTAAAAATATAGATCAATTCAACATCTGAAAAAATATTAATACCTATCAAGACCCAAAACTGAGTAATCATGCGACAACGGGTTGCTTGCATTGGCCCTAGGAGCTTCCCTGAAATTAGTTCCCCGGTCTCTGAACGATGTATCAGCCTTCCAGTACCAGTCATTTCTTTGGAAGTGCTGATGATATGCACTTTGCCCATTTTCTTGCCAGCTCTCATAGCTCCTCTTATGTTTGTTTCTCTCCCTGTTGAAAACACTTTGCATACGGCGAATGCGCTCCTATGAAAAGCATAGGATATTGGGTCAACAATAATCCAATGGTTAACGTAGAATACACAGATAAATTTCAGAATAAACTCACAAATGGAAGTTTATCTGTTATCTCATTACGTTTTTCTTTAGCTCAGATATGTAAGTCATTAGATCTACTATCTGTAGTTGGCTTTGTGAGGATCACAAATTATGGGATAGAAAATAAAGCAATCAACAGTTCAATCACGCAAAGAAAACATAGGGTAGGAGTGACATTTCACTTGAAAGAAATACAATAAGGATGTTTAAATATCCAATGGTTCTGTACAGCTTCAGTGTATTATTGCAGATGAAGAAATAAGGGTTAAATCTTATGTCCATCCTCCAACCTTCTAGCTATAAGATTTTCCATAAAAAATTTCACACAGCTTGTCCAAGAAAGCAAGTTACGCTTATGTCCAAAAGAACAAATGGTAGTTAAATTCTCCTTCTCAAAAAAATGGTAGTTAATTTCTCGACACGGCCAAATTATATTCAGATGACACACATTCTAAACGAATACACATAGGGGCCTGGATTTCATAAAGCAAATATCACAATGTCTTCACTTGCTTCAGTTGAAATAAACTTTGACGAAATTCTCTTTCAATTAGATCTAAGGAAATGAGAGTAAAATTGTTGAAGATGAAAATGTAGCTCACCACTCTCTCCATTTCTTCTTCATACTCCTCCCGCATCCTGCAATTATATCTTTTCCACGCTTCCTCCTGAAAACTTGTCCTAAAAGAACCCCCAGCTCGACTTCTCTGTGCTGACTGCCTCAACTTTTTCAATTCAAATAAGTAGTTATTAGCTCAAGAAAAACATTTCTTTCCTCCCCCATGCAAAGTATTTATCAAAACAACTAGAGCAGAACCCTTCTCTAAGCACAAATGTCAGTAAACATAAGCAACTTCATTTGATGTACTTCATCTTATGCATGCAACAGTTAATTAGTATTGAACTCGCACCCAGGACCATTGCAAGAAACAGCAAAAGCAAAAGCAAAAGCAATTTTTTTGCACAAAATTAATTTTGTCGCAACATCTCATTTCACAGAGTAAGCATATACTCCCTGTATCAGAAGGGAATAGCACGATTAGATTAAGAGTTTCTTTTACAATTATTTTCTGATATTTTTTAACTCTAAAGCTGAGTTATCAAACTTTTTCTGTAGTAGATAAATATGTAAAAGTTTATTTCCCAAAATTTAAAAATCAATATCAAAATTCGCATCCGATGATCTTCCCTGAACCCCTCATTCTTATTAGGATAAAGCGATTTATCAATTTAATGCTTATTCTTATGACCACATATCCGAGGGCTAGATGGCCCACAGTTTGAAACTCGTTGTATCATGAGCCCGTCTACGTAGCCTTCTCTGATTAAATACCAAGCTTTAGATCGCCACGGCTTTCAAACTAATTACGTGTGGATAATCCACACATTGCTTAGCTCTCATCACTGAACCAAAGACCTCGGAGCACTATTTTTTAGTCATTTTTCAATCATCTTCTGAGTGGTGAATTATGTTTAGACGTGAGCTAAAAATGACTCACATATTTTGAAGATCTAGAACATTGGCAAGAGCAAGTACGTAGAAGAATGGTCGATGCATCAATATCACATCTTCCTGCCTTTGATATTTATCTCTTTCATTTAATTTAAGATTAAACAACATCTCGATTTGTGGGTGTCATTTTTTGTGCATGGGCCATGCCAATCTTCTTAATTTTTTAAAAGACAAGAAAGAATTCCTTGAGTTGGATATAATACAATTTTTTCATTAAAAGGCCTTCTCTGTTAGTTAGAGATAGTCTTATCTTTCAGTTTTAGTTAGAGAAATAGGTTTTATTGTCTCTAGTTTTCACTTGCTTAGAGTTCCCTATTTATAAATAGGACCCTAGTGCATTTTGGTTGAGAGACTATAATAATATCCTATTAATTGATTGGATATGAAAATTCTTCTCTTTATCCTCTTCTTCCTGCTCCCTTCTCCTATCGACCCCCTCTCCTTCCTCTCTCTCTCTCTCCCTTGCTCTCACTCTCATTTTTGCCTTTTCTCATATCTTCCCTTATTTTTGCTGTCTTATTTGGTGCTACATAAGAAATTACAAGAAAAAGACGAGAAAACCAGATAAGAGGTAGTCAAAAGAAGAAGCAAAGGTAGCTCACTATGACTATGCACAAGCAACAAGCAAATAGGTCATAACTTAGACCACATGCAGGGAGGGTAACTCAGGAGTAAACTGAAATTCTACATTTACCCAAATGAGATTGAACAAAGAAGTTCATTACCTGAGAGTAGACAAAATCCACTGTACTTCGCAATTGTGTAACCTGCCAAATTTCTCAGGCTGTGAATTAATAATCAGAAGCAACCCAGAGGAGGAAAAAAGGAAGAAGCAAGTAAAGCTACAAAATTCCTTTAAAACTTTTTCATTGTTCTAACAGAACACAGAAGAGCATGAAAGTTTAAAGCGTTCAGAAGCAGCAACGAACCACACCCGGGAAGAAAAATATCAGACCTACTCAACTTCGATTTGTAGAATCCACTGTTACAAGTTTCTAAGAGAAGGAGAATATACAAGCGTCACTGAATAGTACGCCATCCTTGATAACAAAGAGTTGCAATACACCAAGGACATATTATTTTATATTTGTATCTTCTTCCACCTCCACCTGTAAAGGTGGCCGAGTTGGTTGAGCAGGAAATCTCCCAAATGAGGGGTCTTAGGTTTGAAACCCTTGCATGCTTTCTTGGTTGAGCGTGTGGTACGGGGTTTTCCTAGTGCGGTTTATCTCCCTTGTGAGGTTTGCGGGCTATTTCAGTGGAGAGAGGTTTACCCCGTGTGCACCCAAAAAATAGCGGTTGCGGGATCCCTTGTCATAAAAAATATCCATATATTTTTCCACCTTTGGTCCCCTCCCTTTATAGGATGCCTTTCGTCAATACATGCAAATACCAAAAGCCTTCCACTCCAATCTATCTTCCTTATCTCCCATACTCCTTTGCATGAACTCCACTTCTCATTCCCAATACAAAACGGCTCTTTTGAAACTAATTTCTGAGATATTGCTACACGTTTCTTGTGAGTTGTGACAAACTCGAATATATTACCCAATCTATCGTAGAATGGCTAACACCCAAGGATATGCGTACTTCAGCGTCTCCACACTAAGCTATCCAACCAAAAACGTAGATGGTTGTCGCTCCCGACAGTTTCACATTAAGGGTCATTGTCCTGACAATGAAATTTGTAAATCATCTTTTCCCTTCATAATCTCCTTTGTTCTAATGACCAAAAGATAACAAAGGTTATATCATTCCATTGCTGGGAGACGAACTTTCCACAAACTTATCAATAAAAAGAGAACTCATAAGGTCATCTTCATCTTCCACTACCTGACAATTTGTATCTGGCAACAACAACTTTTCCCGATAATCTTTCTATGTAAAAAAGACATTTCTCCATTAGTTCCATATTAAATCATTTCGATCTCTTCATCACTAATCCTCCAATCCTCCCCCTAACCATAGAGAGATATTTTCTTCTCCACCAAAAGAATCTCATTCCCCATCCTTCTTTTATAATTGAGAAACCTCCAAAGGTCACTAGCGCACGGTTAGAAACTCAGTAAATAATGGGCCTGCACCTTTACCCGTCTCTACTTAAGGAAACAAGCAATTTTTTTTCCAATGCAGTACGGGGTTTCAATAAAAACATTAACAAATGATGGTCATCCCCAAAGTTACAACATATTAACCTGTAAGCAAATTAGTATCATTGTGTTTTCAAATGTAATTAACTCATATGGCAGAATAACTACTACTTATGGCAATTAATCAGGGCAAATTTTATTCACAACTGAGCATAGAAAAAATTAGAAACCTAAATTACCCCAAGTTTCTTTCTTTCCCAGTTTGATCAAGCATACACTTTGGTTTCTTCACAACCCATTTTCCCTAAATACTCAATTACCACATCATATCTGATACTGCAACATATTACAGATTATAGATTTCAAAATTACTCAATAAAGCTTCGAACTTTACAGAAACCACTGAATTGCACACCCAAATTCAAAAAAATGAAAAAAGTATAGAAACCAAAAAAGTATGAGATGGGGTAAGAACCTACCGCAAAAGTTGTGGCAGTAGCTCCGATTAATGCAAAAACAAAAATACCCCAAAGTTTCATCTCATCTTTTTCTTGATAAGGTTTTCCCCTATTGTCTTCATCGCCTTCTTCGTTACCCATAATTGATTAGTTTTGAAAAAATTCACCGCAGAATTGTAATCACTGTAATAAACTTGAAAAAGAGCCGATGAAACATGCTATGCTGTGTGCTTAATAGAATCCAGAATCTATTGATGTTCCTTCTTCTTCTCTACGCCGACTTTAGATGAAATTGTACTTTGTATTTTGTCTATTTTCTTCTTCTTCTTCTTCCTTTTTTCAACTTCGCCTTTTTGTTTCTCTGTGGTTTTAATTGGTTGTGATAATTCCCAGTGACCCGCTAGCGCTCGTCGGACCTTTTAGGGTCAACTGTTTTATGTAAAACTAGTAAATTTTGACTTTTATTTTGTTATTCAAGCCGTTTAAAAAATCAAGAGATAACTTAATTTTTGTGTTTATTTTATTTTTACTGTTAAATATTATTTATTATTTACTAACATATTTCTCAAAACATTAAATTTAATAAAGTCAAAGGATAATATAGTAATATTACCCATATTATTTATTGTTTCTTAAGTGATGTGTCAAGTTAATAACGGATAACTATTGTTGAACAAGTATTCAGTATAATCTACACAATGGAGTCAAGAGGTAAAGTATATCCAATTTTTATCATGTTATTTTCAATAGACCCTTGATAATAATACCGCAAATAAATTACATAAAATAATAAATAATATGAGAAATCAAAAAACAAATAGCTATAAAAATAGTCCCACGACTAATAGTTGATATACTATCGAATTTAGTTTATTACCATATTCAGAGTTGCTTTCCACGCCAAAATAATATATTTTATGTAGTTCTCCATTTTTAATCAGAGGTCTCAAGTTTGAATCCTCCTAAATACAGAGTCTTTGTTGGGGAACGCTTTATCTCTAATGTGAAACTTTTCAATACAAATTTGAATTTAATCAGATTGTAATGTAGATATCAAAAATCGAATAAGAATTAATAGATACTAAAAATAATGTTATCTATTCGTGATTTGAAGTTTTTCTTCTTTTGTTTTAGTTTAAAGAGAAACACACTCATATTTAAGTCACAAATTCAGTGTAAAAAAAAATCATTTTTAAAATTAAAATGCAATTATTTAATCCAAAATGGATCATTTTCTCGAAATGAAATGTGATTTTAATGAGAATCGGAGCTCCGAAGCGTGAGCAGAACCGTAGAATAGCAACCGTTCCAATCCCCACGCGCCAATTTCAAGCTTCTCCATATACGCGCCTTACTTTCCAAATCTGCAAATCTCCAGCAAACACTTTCACCTCTTTCTCCAAACAATTTTCAAATTTTTTTTTTTGTATTCATCAAATACATATCCATTGTGTACCGGAATTACCAAACCTTTGTAAATTACGGATCTTTAACGTTGTTCACTACTGATTCAGGTACAGATGATGTTTTGCCATTGCCTATTTATTTGAAACAAAGACCTCAAAGCTTCCCTTTTTCCCCCTTGTATCAAAGTTGGTACAACGTTGTTTTCTTGCTCTTTATGTTTGCTAATTATAGTAAAGAATTGATTTTCTTGTCTCTCCTATTAGTTTCCATTCATGGGTGTGGTTAACAAATACTATATTGTTAAATGCTTCAGTACAATCCTTTGTGTTTTTCCTCATATCAAAATGGGTTTAAAGGTTGTTTTCTTGCTCCCTAATTATAGTTAAAGATTGAATTTTTGGTCTCTTTCTTGACACCCTTTTAGTTTCTATTCATGGGTGTGGTTAACAAATACTATATGATTAAATGCTTCACCACAATCCTTTGTGTTTTTTAGTTTCCTCATATCAAAGTGGGTTTAAATGTTGTTTTCTTGCTCGTTTTGCTCCATAATTATAGTTAAAGATTGATTTTTTTGTCTCTTTCTGGACACCCTTTTAGTTTCCATTCATGGGTGTGGTAAACAAATTCCTTTGTGTTTTTCCTCATATCAAAATGGGTTTAAATGTTGTTTTCTTGCTCTTTTTGCTCCCTAATTGTAGTGAAAGATTGAATTTATTGGCTCTTTCTGGACACCCTTTTAGTTTCCATTCATGGGTGTGGTTAACAAATACTATAACCAGAATCCTTTGTGTTTTTCCTCATATCAAAATGGGTTTAAAGGTTGTTTTCTTGCTCCCTAATTATAGTTAAAGATTGAATTTTTGGTCTCTTTCTTGACACCCTTTTAGTTTCTATTCATGGGTGTGGTTAACAAATACTATATGATTAAATGCTTCACCACAATCCTTTGTGTTTTTTAGTTTCCTCATATCAAAGTGGGTTTAAATGTTGTTTTCTTGCTCGTTTTGCTCCATAATTATAGTTAAAGATTGATTTTTTTGTCTCTTTCTGGACACCCTTTTAGTTTCCATTCATGGGTGTGGTAAACAAATTCCTTTGTGTTTTTCCTCATATCAAAATGGGTTTAAATGTAGTTTTCTTGCTCTTTTTACTCCCAAATTGTAGTGAAAGATTGAATTTTTTGGCTCTTTCTGGACACCCTTTTAGTTTCTGTTCATGGGGTGTGGTTAACAAATATCCTTACATGCTTCACAACAATCCTTTCTGTTTTCCTCATGTCAATATGGGTGCTTTTTTCACTTTTTGTTGGCTTATTATAGACTTATAGTGATGAAAATGTGTTGTTCCTTGACACCTTTTTAGCTTCTTTTCATGTGTGTGGTTAATAAATCCATAGTTACTAATCATTGTTTTCTTAAAAGACTGGTCTTTTCCTAATATTGTGATAATGCCATATTTGGAAACTTCTGTGAAAAAGTCAAAGCTGCCAGAAATAAGAAATTTGACAGCTTTTGGTATCTAGTTTTGATTTTTGACATTATAATCTCTTGATTGATTTTTTAATAATTAGAATTTGTCTTTAATATTACACAGGAAATTAGTTTTTTTGGTTACAAGAACCTACAATGATGTCAAGGAGGCCTATCAACCCATCTCGACGTGTAGCAGACAATGGAGCTTCTTCGTTAGAAGGCTCAATTCGGTCAAAGACACGGTCTCCCCCATATTTAACAATTGGACTTATTATTGTGGTACTTATTCCCGGATTCTGATGCTAATAGTTATTTAACTGTTATCATTCTGGATGACAGTGGATAAACTTTAGAATATTACTAGCTTTAAGTCATTTAACTGTAATTGTAACTCAATTTTTTCCTTTTGGATATTCCAGGGTGCATTTCTTCTCATAGGGTATTTTTACCGTGACACAGGTTTGTATCTGAATCCTTGGTATTTTATGAATTATGTTTATCTTCAAAAATATAGTGAGATGCCCCCCAAAAAATGAAGAAAAAAGAAAACAAAATATTTTAGCTGATTGCTCAATGCTGGAGTCTGGAGCTGTCTGGTAGCCTATAAATTCTAGTTTAAATTATATAGCAGTTACACTCTTTAGTTGACTTGGAGGACTCCTATAGATTCTTTGTTTAGAGTAAATTGTATATTGAAAAGAACCGATAATACTTGTGCATGAACAGTCTTCCCTTCTTGAGAAAAGAAGATATCGGCATCCACATATGCACAAGTAAAAGATGTCTCATGTGTATTGTTTTCGACATATTTTTAATTTTTATCTGCAAACAAATAATGGTCTGTCTTCCCTTTAAACATTTTAGCAAAGGAAAACTGGCCCTACCTCATGTTTTGATGAATGTTTTTCTAAATAAAAATCTCAAATGAATCTCTGCTCTCAGTAATGGTCATGCAGGTGATTTAATTACACGTTGTGTTTCCTTCTCTCAACTTGAACGTTTTGTTCAGCCTAAGTATTGTTCTTTACTTCATACTTTGTGCTTCTGAGTCTTGTTCCTTACTTCAGTCTGACACTGATAGAGGGATTATCATCGGTTGTAGGTACTTTTGCCAGTATTAAAGGAGCTATCAGTAGAGTGGAAGGTAATTGCTCATGCATTATTCTAGAGGATTTGAGTTTTGACGTATTTATATATCAAATGCCACATGAATTATGTGATTTAATCGAAGTGATGAGACATTTCTTTTAATTGCTTAGTGCAAATGGTTCTAACTATGAACTCATGATCACCTCATAAATGTATCAAGAACTTCAGTTTGGTCCTTAATGATAACCGCTGTCACTTTTGGGTTCTGCCTGGGGCTTTACTCTAACAATAATTATAATAATCTATTATAAGAAGGCTCGTGTAGTAGGAACCATCTAAAATTACTTAAAACAAATGTCTTTTGGGACATAATAAAACTATCTAACCTATCTCTCTAACATCTTAAGCCTTTGGCAAGTTGGTCAACATGATATCTGAGCAGACAAGAGGTCCTGGGTTCAAATCTCGCAGCCATCCATTAAGAAAAAAGTGTGTTTGGTCCATGAAAATAAATGGGGCCAACAAGTGAGGGTGTGTGTTGAGACATAATGAAATCAAGTCACTAAGTCGCTAACAACTTTAGCTTTGAGATGGTCCCACACTTCAGCAATGCCTTTGGAGATGACATGCAACAGAATTCTTGTGTTCCACGAGGAAACCTATGTGCATTGTTATCATGCAGTCAGTCTGTATACCAACTTCAATAAACTAATATCAACCCAGAAACTTCATGTCTTAGATTTCTGTTCTCTTATTGATTTGCTGAATAATTCTTTAGTCTGGTGAGCATCTGGAACATCTGTAAACTTTCCCCCCATACTTTATAAATCATTTACTTATAAAGGCATAGAGGAGGTAACAAGATTAGTAATTTTCATTTGTCACTCTTGGTGGGTGGAGTGACTGTGCATTATACCTATCGAGAATCTTGATATAGTCTATACACAGAGCTACTGACTTCCATTCTTTATATTAGAAGATACCTAAATTTTATTGCTTTTGTTTAATTTGGGTAATACGGTATGTCAGTTTATTTGCCTTGACATTGTTGAAGATAAAGTTACTGTTGTTTTTACATTACAGTTGACTTAGGATCTACCACCTGTTTTACCTCTTCAGGGGATTTTTTATGTACTGTAGAAGTTCAAAAGGCCATTCCTGTTTTGAAGAAAGCATATGGTGATAGCATGCATAAGGTGCTGCATGTTGGTCCTGATACTTGCTCGGTAGTGGCTAAATTGTTAGAAGAGGAAGATACCGAAACTTGGGGTATAGAACCATATGATATAGAGGATGCAGGTCATTTCTGCAAGAAACTCGTGCATAAGGGCATTGTTCGTGTGGCTGACATAAAATTTCCTCTCCCATATCGTGCAAAATCATTCTCTCTTGTGATCATCTCAGATGCATTGGACTACTTGTCTCCAAAGTATCTTAATAGGACTCTTCCCGAACTGGCGAGGGTGTCATCTGATGGACTCGTTATTTTCACAGGTAAGAAGAGTTTGTATTAGTTGTTATGTTTATATGACAGCCAGTCCAAAATGGAAGTTTATTTTGCATTAATTGTACTGTCTGAGCTAAGCTGCTTCCTACCCTTCACTTCCTGTCAATCTGTATTTTGGTGTTTGCCCTTTCGGGTTACACACATATGAGTAGGGAGTGTTTATCTCAATCCAAGATAGATGCCTTTTTAACATGTGAAACTTATTTTTAATCTTCAGTACTTGGTCATACTAGCACATTTTTCTCGTTGATAGACAAAGCTATTTAGAAACTTGATTATTTGTTGCCTTAATTTTAATTTCCTTCCACGCTGATGTCTCTTATACAGTATGCTTTCAATAGGTTTCTATCCCCCCTTTTTACTAGGTCCAAAATTGCCCTATTTAGTTTTCTCCTTTGAAGTAGGATTAAAGTTGACTGGGAGAAGTTCTTGTTATCGCCATCCTTACTGCTGCTGAGGATAAAAGTACATCACCACTTCTCATTAGTTACCTAAATAATATCAAGAAAAGCTGAATATTTATAAGATTTTATAGCAGGGATATTAAGGACAAATGTTGGATTTCACACACTAATACACACACAGAAAAGAAGAGGACATCCGTGTATTTTTATTTTTTTTGGATAAATGGCATTAAACTGGTTTCTCATATATGAATATAACAGATGCGGAAGTGAGGAGATTTTACAAATGGGGGAAATTAGATGACCAGGGTCTATGTATAACTGAAAGAGAGAACCTGTATTAGTAGAACTTAGAAGAATTTAGCAGCAACAGCACGGGTTTTTCCTTTCCTTTTACTGGAAAGGAACAACTTCATTTCTGAATTATGCAAGAATTGGTTGTTACTATGAAAAAGGATACTTGAGAATTCATCTCCTTTCCTGTTTAGCAGTGATAATATTTTTAAAGAATGATATGGTGATAGTTGGATCTGGTTTTGATGATACCTCACACATACATATCCATCTCCACTACATGAATGGTTCACTATTGATTCCAAATCAATGCAATGTGGCGTACTTTCAATTCAGCTAGTGTGCTTTTATTCTTGTATAACTTTTGGTCAGTTGACCTCTATAGTAGAGTAACATTTTGTATTTTGGATGCGTTGGCGAGTCTGATCACCTTGCTTTCATAGAGCTGTTTACTCCTTGAGTTTTCTCCTTTAAGATTTGACCATGTCACTCCATGCATAAGCTTTCTAAGGAGTTAGAAATGCCTTTAGGGTATTTTCCTACCTGCATCCTTAATTCCACATGATTACTCAATATAAGACATTGGCTGCATTCTGCATATAAAGACAAGTTAATATGGGAAACCTTGTAATCCAGAGAATTCTTCTGGTGTTAATCTGATGTTAATATCTGATAATTGCAGGTTATCCACGCCACCATAAAGTTAAGTCTGCAGAGAAGTCCAGATTTGGGGGGCTGGTAAGTGACCTGTCCTGCATCGTATAAATTTTACATATTTTTGTTTCAGTGTATGGACATTTGATCTCTCATAAATTTTAGGGGTGAGGAGCCAAGACTTAAATCCTAGTTAGGAGCCTTCGACCCTTATATGAGGTTTTATGGTTATCTATTCTTGCTCTTTTAGTTTAGTTGATCTAAATTCTTGATGGTGTCTTGAAAAAAATGAGTTTATGTCAGCAGTTCATTTGAAACCTCATTATAACATCGCCATTCATGCAGTAGCATATCACCGCTAGTCAAAAGTCAGTTTTTCTATTTTCTGGTGAAAAGGGAAGTGTTTATATACATTTGTTGAAGCATGACTTCATGCTGCAATGGTGCTAGCCCAATAAATTGGTAGCCGAAGTTGTATGGTGAAATGTTTTAGTGAAAGCCCTGCTCGTGATATCTTTCTCTCCGTCTATTTTCTATAGTAACACTGACTTAAATTACCCTTCAATTTTGAAACCTAATGCCATCTACTTCCACCTTTGCTTTCTGTTCTCTCCAAAGGCCAAATTGAGGAGCTCAACGTGGTGGGTGCGATATTTTGTTCAAACAAGTTTAGAGGAAAATGAAGTTGCCATCAAGAAATTCGAGCAAGCTGCTTCGAAGAAATCTTACGTCCCTAGCTGCCAAATTTTTCACCTGAAATCTTACCGTTGATATAATTACACGAAAGTTATACACAGAAGGAATCACGCATAGCTCGTGGATGATGGTCAAGATATGTTATGACAACTTTCAAGTTTCAGCTGTGTTGATAAGTTGTTGAGAATAGCAGGTGTCTCCTTGAAAAATTGAGTATGCCATCATCTTGATTAGTGTAGTCTTGTTAGATATATGGGGTTATGGCAGTTTGTTGATTTATTGCAAAAATGGGAATTAAATTACTGTTTCATTGGAGACTCTTTGTGATTTTGGTTTTAATGGCCAATTAAGCCAAATGATATACATCATCTAAACTTCTCCTTTTGGTTCTGTTTATTTATTTCACTTGAGCCGAGTGTCTTTCGGAAACAACCTCTCTTCCTCTACGAGATAATAATAAGGTCGACGTACACTCTACCCTCCCCAGATCCCACTTAATGAGATTTCACTGGGTATTTCTGTTTATTTGTTTATTTACTTATTTCATGTTTATTGTTGACGAACTCAATAAATCTTTGTCTTCCCCATTATGTCTTTGCTACTTTTCATTTGGTCGTCCAAATGTTGGGGAATCACAATCTACTACTTTATTAATGTTGCCTTTATTTGTGATTAATTCGACATATTTCACCTACTCATGTAGAAAGTCATACATGAGGCAAAAAATATGTTGAATGTCAATAGAGTTCTAAAGAAGTAGAAGTAAAAAATTGATTAGAATGCCAATACATAATCAAAAGTAGTGCACCATTTCTCTAGCGCATGTATAAGTCAAATCGTAAAGTCAAATCAAACCGACGAATCAAATCAAATTGAAAAAGAAACGATTTGTGGTTTGGTTTGGAGGTTGAAAAAAAAAACCGACCACTCTTGGTTTGGTATTAAAAGAAAAAAAGTCAAACCGAACCCAAACCAAACCGACATATATAATATAT